GTATATGGCATGGATAGTAAGGCCCTTTCACGGTTGATAAGAGGAAGACGGGCAAGGAGAGACATGCGAAGTACCGATTTGATTATTACGTTGGCTTATCAAATAGGATCTTTTTTCTTTTTTTAAATTTTACTTCCTTTTATTGAATACACAATGATACAAATTTCAGGACGGGGGAAGGGGCCAATCAAAGGGCTGTCATGGGGAAAGTCAGGCGGTGGTGGTGGGGGTCCCCCGGGGTGATAATTTGATGACGTTGCCACCGCGCCACCACCGCACATGGTTACTTGATACTCAATAGAATAAAGAGAAGTTACGGTGTACACTTGAAAGTCTTATCCACGTATGTTTTCCTTACACATTAGAACACAACCCCTCACCGTCGAACCTGACATGGAGAACGGTATTGATGAGATCAAGTGATATCAGCAAAGAGTTGGTATCATTTAATCAGTCCGGTAAACATGGTTACCCTTTGACCCCGATCGGGGAGAGGAGGGATCATGAGTGTGTGTGTGTGTGTGTGTGTGTGTGTGTGTGTGCTGACTACACAGGACTAGAGATTGCATCTATCAATGACCATTTTTCTCGGTGCGACATTACACATCAACTGTAACCTCTCTCATGCTTCCCGCGACTTCGGGTCAATCGTATACAAGCGGGCGAATGACATGTGAGAACAGATTGACGCGGGAGGCAGATGATTCGATCAAGATCGCATAGTGAGTATACAGGCAAATAGGGGATACTGTATATACACAACTTTCGTGGCATTTTGGCGTCATTTTCAGCTCGGGTAAACAGAAGTCTTCAATCCTGTGCAATTCAAGCAGTTTGAGTTAGCATCACTGAAGCGCATCGAACCGAAAGATTCCGAGTTCAAATCGTTTGGCAGGCATACAAACTTTATGCTAGACTGCTTTGCTATTCACTTAGATCGTTTGGATTTTGTTTAATTCGTTATTTGGTGACTTCGTTTGTTACCCTGAAAACCGCATTAGGGTCAGCGTTAAAAAACAAGCAAACTTTTCTTGTTGTAACCTCTTATCACAATGAGTAGTGACAAACTGTGATTTTCAAGACGTGCAATCATCACTACATTCAAGCCCAAACAGTTTTCATGAAAAAAGACCCCATGTACTCTTTCAATCTCACTCTCTCGTTTCCTATTTTTAGAAGATTTCCCATGATGAGAAACCAGTCAATCAGAGATTACTGGGGGGGGGAGGGGACAGGGGATCCGAAACGGAGCGAATAAAGCTCAGTTTGGTCGACGTGATCACTCCTTAGACCTGGAGTCAAAGTAAAAACAATTTCTACAGTTATTTGACCTCTGCCAATAATCCCTTGTTCATAGAGAAGTATGATCATCACCTGATTCCACGTTCCGAACAGTGGGATCGAAATTTGCGACTCACTATTGAGGGTCCGTATGGTTGCAATAAGCAAATAGGAGCGATTCAGACCTCAAACGAGAACAAAAACAGTTGAACTATGAAGCCAAAACGAGGGTCCTGGACCCCTTACAGTGGGTTTATGTAGCGGGATGCATGAGTTATTTGCAAACACTGACATGTGTTGTGTGTGTAATCTACGAATTTATCCAAGCGGTGACGAAACAAATCTTTCGCTTATCACAAGCCACAGTGATGTTTTGTCTCATTTCCTAAACTGATGCCTTTCACGTTCTACGCTTACGCTCCGGTCTTTGAAATTTCGGAGCAATCTAACGCACACACATGCCGTTTGCTGCGGCTGTGACTAATTATGAACACGATTGGTGAGCAGTGAAGCGACGCTCCCTATTGATTCAGTTCTCGACAGAAGAGTCCAGGAGGCAGATAAAGTACGGTGGGGTGGGGTAGTAAGTGTGGACACGGCAACAAATTACGCCATTTCGAAATGATAACTTGAGTCCCTGTCACGACGAAACTGAAGTGCACACACGATAGACGTGTGTGTGTGTGTTGCAAGGGCCACACATACACAATTCATTCGAATAGCTTAGGCTGTAGTCGATGCTAGGTATCTTGTAATTAACGTCAGTGGACACGGCGTCTATCGCCAAGGTGAAAGAAGTCCAACTTTGTCGAGTATAAGTATACAAGTAACCGTCAGGACATTCGTTCGAGTCCATTACTCCGTCACGTCCAACAAAAACGGGATCCGTAAACAATGAACCGGTTCCGTTTACCAACACTGAAACAAACTTATACGGAACCAACGTGTGTATTTATGTAATTAGGTGGAGTAAGTTTGACTAGAACCCCGGAGTTCGTGTGCACCCGAGATCGTAAAAGCGCCCACGAAAACAAACAGAGCTTCCATGAGTACGGGAAAGGTGGAAGTCATGCACCAGTGCATAATATCGACCAGTGTAGTTTCTCAAGTTCCGATAAGGGTTTAATCGGACAGTCGAGATCTAATCAGGCCCAATCGATATGTAGACCAAGCATTGATTATCTGTGTGCTTATTTAGAAGTTCTTCATACGGGAAACGGTGAAATCCGATTTCAATCAAACTGCAGCATGCTTCGGACAGCTACCGGTCAATCTATGGAGNCCCCAATCGAGCGTGTGGAATAGGACTTTGAAAACAGTGCTTTTCAGACGAACAACAGTGGAGTAGGAAACACAGTCAACTTGATCATACTTATCCACGACAGTGTTTATCCATTATCTGATTTCATTCAGAAATCGGAGTTGATATGTCTGACCCCGTGACAGAATGAAACAACCCGCAATACGAAAACCGCGTAACCAACCTATATTGCTCATCTGACTGGATTCAGTAACCAATGCATAAAACTGGTCTTCCTCCTCCCCCACGCCGTCGATTCATATCTCACGTCTACAACTTAGCCAGGATATTGACTGCTGTCAGCTATCCGATACCGTCATGGATGTTTGAATCGATGTGAGAATTGACCCGTTCACACACTACGATATTTGACCTTGTCACTTACGGCCGGTTCTGACTGTTGTTGGTGAACGGGGCTTCGCACTCGCCATCGGAACAGGCAGCCCCTCGCATTTGGTTCCCATACAGACACCCGGGGGTCGAATAGAGACGATGATTTCGAAATCGGGGATGTTATGAGAACACTGGAATCCGACCGAAGTTGATCCCGCTCCGTCCCGATCACCCTAGTAACGATACTACAGACGCATGTGGTGGTTAGTTCAAACATACCAGAATGTTGTTCGGTATACAACATCGCACATGGTTGTCTCCGTTTGATCGCGTCCTGACTGCATTATTATAATTCATACCCAAACATGATCAGGAGCCATCTACCGAGTGGAGTGATAAAACCGGAACTGAAACAGGTGTAATATTGTCTTGACAAATAATGATAGACCTATCATGCAACAGCAAATTGAAGCCGACAGGGTGTTGAGAATAGGGGATGGGGTAGGCGGAGTAAGCCATGTTTTTTGTTCTGACGAATGTAATTTGGTTAATCACAGTAAGTGAAACCAGACAGACGGGCAGAATGGGATTCGATGAAAATCATTCAATTAGATTCTGAATGTGTTTGATACTTGTATTCAGTAGTGTAGAAAGAAAATTTCAACGACATAGATATGATTATACGAGCCGTCAAACAGAGCCCTGGAGTCGTGGTCGGGTGAAACGCACACACCACGACACCCTGAAGACGTCGCCTCGACTTGGAATTGTAGAAATCAAATATACAACTTTAGGGCAGATACAATGTTATCCTAAACAACAGCGAAAATAAGTTGCCAGTAGTGATGGAGTTCGAGCTTGCGAATGGGCCTAATGATGAACTGACTAAAATCACTGCGTTACGATTCGTGCAATTCGAAATGTGCAAAAATGGCAACTGTGAGGAATTGAACATATTTTCAGTAATTTATGCACCCACCGATGTCCAAAATATTTGGTTGGAACGATGGAACCGGTTCCCTCAGAAGCATATATGTGAAAGCTCTTCGCGGATGATGGCTCACAGTTTCGGTTTTTTATCCAGCGGATACCAGGGGTAGGTGATTCCACGAAAATATACCGAAACCAAGTTGCATTAGAAGGTAGCCCGTGAAGTAACCCGTTGACGTGTGTGACTATCGTTCAGAACACAAGCACACGCTACGAGAATAGGGGATGTTCCCTGTGCCACTGCTTTAGTTTAACACTCGATAACAAACATCATCGAGTGCACAGTTTACACATGGTTACTGCAGTTTGGTTGACTATTATTTTAAGACCAGGATCTTAGGCCTAGTAGCCCACCCGGATAAAATATGGTCAGCTCTTGGTCAAATATCGCCTAGTTATATTATGAGGACAATGGGCCACCAAGAATCTCAATCTAACTTAGATACATGATCCTGCTCGTCGTGCATTTGGTCTATATTGCATTGTGTCGTAGACAATGAGAACACGATCAGTGTGTGTGAGAGAGAGGGCAGTAACAAAACGTGAGACGTTATTCTGGTTTTAACATATGTTCTTATTGAGGGCTTATTAAAGCATTACTTGCCGACGCATTGTCGGGGTAATAAATGACAGACTAGGAAACCAACATTCACGACTGCAGAACGTCAAAACGACCTGGAAGAGACGCGCGTGTTTGTGCGTTTGTGTGGTAGTGGGATAAGTTAGGAGAGGATGAAAATGACAACCACTTGGTTGGTCGAGCTAGTAAATAAGTATCGGATTTGTGATCCAATCAACTGGACGCAGTGTCCAATCGGTTTTAGGTTCGAACCCATTAGTGAGCGATTTGCATTGCAAACCCTAAAGCAAACGTCGAAATCCTTCAAATCAGTCTCCTGCTTCGGTTTGAAGAATCGATTTCAGTCCATGATAATTCGAAAATACAGGTAGTTACGTCATACCCGAGCGTGATTATTGGTAATAATAATAAATACGGACACGAAAAAAGTTGGAATAAAGCGATTATTTAACGTAGCTTTGGACTGTAATGACAAAATATATTACTAAAGACGTGACATTTCCGAAAAAAACGACATTATGCGCGCAAAACAGAACGAGCACTCACTGGAAATAGGGGAGTATTTTCCGGTTTTATTTGACCCGGTTGTAACATGCCAGAGTACTGTAGGTAGTCGGTAGAATCGGACATTTTCGAACATTTTGTACGTCGATTCGGTCCGGGAGGACGTCCACGTTGACCAATTGTGAGTGGGCTTCGAGCCAGACGTCCGGCCGTGACTCCGGATAAGGTACGACCAAAAGAACCCCGTCCATGTGCTTCTGAGGAGTCTGTTGAGCCAAGCAAGTCCATTGTGCTCGCCGATGTCGACTTGCACGGACGTACATGTCGACGTGCGGTTTCCTCTTGTTCCGCCACATCACCATGCCGACTTTTCAAATGATTGAGCATTGTGGTCGTTGTCCCGGAAGCGTTAAATGCCAACTGACTATCACACAGAACACATTGTGTTCGACTCCGGTCGGTCAAACCTCCAGCCATTTCCGGATGTCGAAAATATTTCCACACAAATGATTTCTTCGCACAAGCTTTTGTCCCGTTCATAGCACCCGGAGATTTACCAGCCCGTGTCATTCCGGGACTTAATTTCATAGTGGACGATTTGGATGTCGATTTCTCGGCACATTTGCCATTTTTCCCCGTGCTGGAAGTCAAACTGGGGGTACTCATACCGGTACTGCTAGTGTTAGTACCACTACTCGAGTTAACGGATGTACTGTGAATTGTTAAGGGTGTAGTAGTGGTAGTAGTAGTGCACATACGTGAATGTTTGGGTAAACTCACATCTCCATTTTCTTTGGGGAGGAGAGAATCTGGGTGCGATGATCGACCAGAATGGTCCACATTCTCGGCACTGTGTGCGGGAGAAACACTATGGACATCATCAGCACAGTCGCTAGCATGATCCACGTCGTCATCTTCATCATCGACATCATCCTCATCCTCTTCTAGTGCGGGACCTCCCTGATGTGTACACTTCAACGCTGGACTCGTTTTGTCCAGATGACCAGTGGAATCTATCGAGGATGATGAGATAGCAGAGCCTGACTCATCAGGATCTAATTCTTCTTCATTATGTCCTCGGGGGCTAATTGTGTTGCGTAGAATCCGGTCTTCGATCGTAATGCACTCCGCGGATCGACGCGCACACAAAGATTTGTCCTCGACTTTGAAACTCGACTGTTCCGAACTTTGGCAGGACGGAATTGGTTGATGGGACAGCATTTGTGATTCGAGCATTTTGCCCATTCAAATAGTATGAAACGACCGCTAGATAAGCGGCCTGCAAGCAGGCGGGCCAGTGGGCACCGGAGAATAGGCGAACACAGAAGAACTCGTGAAATCACACAAACACAGAGGCGCGGAGAGGTGTGCTCAAACGGTGAAGCTCAATGACGGTTACTTGAGCACAATTGTTTGTTTGGTATCCGTTGTATTCGATCACGGAAATAAAACGTTGCTTGAAGATAAAGGAATGAAAGGGAATTTCCACGGTTTGTAACAGCAAACAGGGCGACGTACACGATACGCCACGAACTGCTGCAGCGAGTTTTGCCGTGCTAATGACAATACGAACGGCGCTCAAAAACCATCTGGTGAGCGGATGCGTATGTGTGCGTGCGTGCGCACGAGCAACCAAAGACCCAATCGCGGCTAATTGCTGGCGGCCGCGTGTGTGTTATACTGGCTTATGTTTGGTTGTCGATCCTCGAACCGCCTGTGTTCAACAGTGCGCACAAGCAGATGCACGCGCACAACGAGTGTGCGTGTGTGCGTGCACATTTCACGGTGGCAAAGAGTGCGGTCGTGCCGACTTCAGACATACGCGCGCACGCGTGCACACTCGGACGTGCATGCACAGCTCCGTGCACTACTCGACAACGGGTGTGATTGAATGGAAAGTCGGCGGCGTCGAGGATGGACAGTGACGTGAGTATATTTTCGTCCCCGACGCGTTATAAAGCGAGTATACACACATACACACACGCTTAACTTATTTGGTCTTTTCAACGCGTTGTGGACTCGTACAGGCAGTGTGTGTGCGTCGGTGCGCAAATGTGCATGACCGAATCTGACAGGTCGTATCCGAGCTGCTTGTTTTACCTTGCATGCATGCGCGTGCACGCGTGCATCAGTGTACAAAAATATTTGGTTGGTTGTCGTTTGGTTTACCGCACTCCTCACTGTCGATGCCTCTGGGAACTTGTGCGTATGAAACGATTGAGAGGGGGATGCTGGTAACCGATGCATTGCAGTCTCGAGTATTTTAACCGATCGGATGGTAACTCGAGGCTGTTGTGCGCAGACGGGTGTGCGCTTGAATATAATCGAAAGGTGACAACGTCAGAAAAATGACAATCAAAGAAATTCACATACGCAAGGTCATTTTTGAGCGTCATCGAGTTCTACGACAACACAATGATGTATCGAACGTATACACACACACACACACCTCAATTCCTACCCCGAGTCTGTCGTAAGCACACGGTTGACCTCATGCACATAGTAAGAGTTGTGCTCGTCACACCTTGCTGGTTGGTTGGACGTTTGCGGTCATAGTCGGGCACAGCAACCGGATTGGTCAAATGCTAGACAGTAGAGCACGTTCGAATTAATGATTGGTTCATTCTATATTAGCCTCGAACAAGACAATTTCGGCAGTTCTGTGCGTGTGCATGTATGATCTCACTCCTATCTGTTTTGAGTTGCGGTTCGTAACGCACAAGTGAAAAAACAACATCGGCTAAGAGCACGCGCGCGCGCGTGTGTGTGCCTAATCCGATCGACAATATCACGTATTTTGTACAAATTCAGTTGTTACTTTACGCGGCACACACCAAAGTGGAGAAATGCATGGACGCGGGAGGGTGCGGGGAGCATATAGCAGCATCACAATTACTGCTGCTGCCGTTGCTGTTTCTACCGATCCAACAACTCTGTATGTGTGTTG